TCGGAAGAGATTATGCAAACAAAGTGTGAGAAAATGCTAATCCATGATTGATTTGCATTGCCTCTTCTGGCAAAACCCGTAGTGTAGACATAGCCTTAGAGACTAACAAATATACAGGATCATGACCTTGCATGGGTGAAACCCACTTCATCAGATGAGCGGGAGTGGAAATAACAGAATCCAAAGTACATATAGCAGCAAAAGCAGTTACTTCTCAATTGTAGGACCTGTGTTAATGAAGTTATGTAGGCTGGCTGTGTCCCCTTCATAGCTTTTGATGTGAAAATGCAAAAGTCAGAGGCAGGGAAAATTGGCTCTGTAGTACATTAACCAGTTAATATCTTTATTTAAGACCAGTTTGACAGTGTAAAATTTCTAAATGAATTCCAGTTCAAGTCTCTCTCTGTAATTGGGTGGCAAAATTTCTACAAAAGTAGCTGTTTGTAGAAAAACAGCTACTTTGAAATCCACTATTGAATGTCCAGGTAGGCTAAAATGTTCCTTTATAGGTTTGTGTATGTTACTATTCCTGAGGTCTGATTTGTGTCCATTTATCTTTTGTCACAGATACTGTCTGGCTTGGCCAATATACATGGCAGAGAAGCAATGCTGGCATTGATGGCATACATCACATGGCCTGGGCAAAATACAGCCTGCGGGCCACATTCGGCCTGCTAAGCCACCAGGTCTGGCCCACAGACTCACCCCACCTGTACAATGTTCAGAAATGTGGCTGTGGGGCACTTTCACTTAAAAAACTGAGCTAGGAGGGGAGGGGGAAAGCTTTAGCAGCTGCTCCCACCCCCAACATAATCCCACTGGCCAGAAAATGCCCAATATGAGCTACCTATTTCAATAACAGGCAACCACAAAGCACAAGAGGCTTGTAGTTATTTACAGAGCACATGGCTGCAGCCTGTGCAGGGATGAGGCAGGCAGAGAGGCTGGTTCAGGAATGGGCTGCTGGTTGGTAAGTCTCCTGGCCAGACCCTGCCTCTGGCACCCCAACTCCTCCCTTCCCCAACCCTCTGCCCCCACTCCACATACCTAAATCCTCTGCGCCCCACCTGCACCCAAACTGCCTCCCAGATCCAGCACCCCAATCCTCTGCCCCAGATCACAGTTCACTACTGCCCTAGGTCTCAACCCAAACCCCTGCACCCCCTCCTGTATCCCAATTTCCTGCCCTAGGTCACAATCCAACCCCCTGGTCCAGTGTCTCAGGTCACAACTGCCTCCTTCAACCAAATTCCCTCCCTTACCCCAAGCTCCCTTCTGCACCTAACCTCCACCTCGGACCCCACACCTCCTCCATTAATATCACAGAAGAGTGCAGCCCTCAACCACTCAAGAGTTAAAAATATTGGAGTAGCCCCTTGTCAAAAATAATTGCCCACCCCTGCATTAAAGGATGTGCAGCTATAGGAGTCCCTGATGGTGTGGCTTATGTGGTTAAGTCCTGAGATGGTGTCACTTGTATAGATATGTGGACAGAGTTGGCAATGGAATTTCTTGCAGGGGTAGGTCCCTAAACAAGTGTATTTGAGGTGTGGTGTGTGGCTTCTGTTAAGTATTTGCTTCAGGCTAGGGGGTTGACTGTAGGCATGGATTGGTCTGTCTTCCCAAAGCCTGGGAGAGTGAGGGATTTTTTTCCAGGACTGGTTGTAGATTGTCAAAGATACCCTGGAGGGGTTTCAGTTGGGGGCTGTAGGTGATGACCAGTCGTGTTCTGTTATTTTCCTTGTTGGCCTGTCTTGAAGTTATTGACTTGTGGGTGCTTGTCTGGCTCTGTCAATCTGTTTCCTCACTTACCCAGGTGGATATTTTAAGAATACTTGACAAAGATCTCATAGGTATATGTTTCTGTCTGTGGGAATAGAGCTAATCCAGTTGTATTTTAGGGTTTGTCTGTAGATAACTGATCATGTGATGTGTTCTGGATAGAAGCTAGAGGCATGTAGGTAAGAATAACCATTAGTAACTTTCCAATATTGAATGGTGTTTATGTGATCAACATTTATTTGTGCTGTAGTGTCAAGGAAATGGATCTCTTGTGTGGACTGGTCCAGGCTGACATCAATAGGAGGTGGAAATTTTTGAAATCCCTGTGGAATTCTTCAAGGGTCTACTTCCCGGGAGTCCATATGAGGAAGATGTCATCAACATAGAGTAAGTAGAAGAGGGTGCTAGGAGGATGGGAACCAAGGAAATGTTCTAGGTCAGCCATAAAATGTTGGTATATTGTAGGGCCATGTGAGTACCCATCAGAGGGTGGAACAGCTTCCACATGAGAATAAAAGACTGGGACTTTTTCAAATTGGTAAAAAGGCAACTTAAAGGGAATATGATGAATCGGAGATGCAAACGAGAGTGTGACTTACCTAAAAGTTGGAGCTGCACCTGAGAGAGGGGGCTTTGGGCATCAGCCAATGAAATGCAGATAAGGAATTTCAAACTGAGAGGGTTTTTTCCCCCCTTTGTTTTGGAGCCAAGTGCAGTTTTCCCCACAGAGCAGGAGAGACTGACTCTCCCAGGAACAGACTCAAATTCACTGAAATGTGTAAGTAAGGAAAAGTTTAGATAGTCCATAAGGTCTTTTTATTTTCCTTGTTTAGAAATCATGTCTGAGCTGGTTAACTGTTTTTCTCCTTTGTAACTAAGGATTATAGCCCAGGATTCTCCCTGAGTATTTCAATTCATGTCTTTTAACATCCAGTCACTTACTATGATTGCAACAGTAGCCCTGTTTTAATAGAAGAAATGTTTTCTTTTTGTTTTGGTTGACCATATTGGTTGATTTGTGTGTCCTTAAATGTACGAGACTAAGTGAAACCTGGGAGAAGCAGAGCCCCGTTGTTCTCTGCACATTATCTGTTTGTTTCCTCAACTCCAACCAAAACGGAGGTTGGGGCTAGGGGAGAGCTTTGTCTTAGTGAAGTGATTTATTCCCTGGAAAAAGGGGGTTAATATTTTTAGATACACTTTGTGGTGGCAGCAATCAGTTTTCTTTCTTTTTGTGTCTCAGGGAAACTGAGACAAGTTTGCCTCTGGGTGTTCGAGAGACAGGCTCTTACAGAGTTTATTCTGCTAGCCGGCCCCAATATCTATACTCGAAGTGCCAGGTTGGGGTACTGAACCATGATAAGGTCTATAAAATCATGAATGGTCTGAAGAAAGTATATAAGGAAATGTATTTACCTCATCATATAACACAAGAACTAGGTGTCACACAATTAAATTAACATGCAGCAGGTTTGTTTTTAACAAAAGGAAATATTACTTCATGTAACATGCAGTCAACATGTGGAACTTGATGCCAGGCAATATGCTGAAGGCCAAAAGCATAAATGAGTTAAAAAAAAGAATTAGGTAAGTTCTTGGAGGATATGTCTACCCTTGGCTATTAGCCAAGATGATCACAAACACAACACTATGTTCTGGGTTTCCTAAGTCTCTAATGGCCTGTAGCCTGGGCAAAAATGGATGGATCAGTTGATAACTGCCCTGTTCTGTTCACATTCCCGCTGAACCATCTGGCATTGACCACTGTCAGAAGATAGGATACTGGGCTAGATGGATTGATTTGACCTAATAAGTCATTTCTTGTGCTTTTCATGACTCTGAAACTGAGGGGAAAGTGATGAGTAGTAGAGCATGCATAGGAACAAAACATCTCTAAGATCTTCAGTTACTGTGAAGATAAGTAACCTCTCCTCCTCCAAGTTACTGTTCCTATGGGTGTCCCATGTTAGGAGATTCCTAAGGAATGCCCCAACTGAGGAGGTGGAATCAGCAGAAAGCAAAGAAGAGCTTCACCAAAGGCAACTTCTAGACCTGGTGCACAGGCAAGAGCACAGTGTAGAAAACACCTACTGAAGATCAGGTGATAGCTTTGTTAATGTTCTAGATGAGTATGTTTTTCAATAAGGCCATGGAGAGAGACTGAGCCCTGAGGCACGGGCAATCTCCTTAGATGGAGGATGCACCTTCAAGGCTTTGTAACAGATGAGGATGCATCCTGAAGTCTGTTTTCACAATTTTTGTCCTTTTGTTCTTTATTCTATGGAAATAAAAAAACAGTCTAGGAAAAAACAAGGGGCTTAATTGTGCTCAAATACAATTTGACTATCCAGCATATGGAGCTTCCTTCTTTTCCCAAACAATGGATGAATGTCCTGATTAATGTGGAATTCTGATACAACTTTAGGCAGAAAATAGCAGTGGGGACATAACATCACCTCATTGCCATAGAACAGAGTGTAAGGTGGTTGGCCTTAAGGGCTCAGTTCCCCTATGCTTTTCACTTAGGAGATGGCTATGAGGTACTAAAGAATAAATGAAGGGAATAACTCTCTGTAGGTTCAAATGAGGGAAGGGGGTTTCCTCAAAGTGCTGAGGACTAAGTTGAGGTTCATATGTAGCGGGTTCTTCATAAAAGTTAAAATAGAGCCTTAATGCATCTTGCAATGGTCAGAGGAGCAAAGCCTGAAAACCTCTTAATGGAGGAGTGAAGGACTGCAATGGCAGTCAGATGAACCTGAGCTGAGCTCAGTGGTGGTGACTGCCATTTTTAAATTGAATAGAATATGCATGAGGAGAGACCCAAAACGAAGTATAGACTGATGGGTACACTAGGCTTGAAAACATTTCCATTTCTGCAGGGAGCTTGTCCTTATTGCAGGCCACTATTGAGCTATATCATTTGGTTTTCTGAAGAACAGTCGTGTTGTATGCTAGAGAGCCACCTAGGAGCCAGGCACTGAGGTGGGTCACAGTGCCTGAGTGCTAGGTAAGAAGATGTCCTGCCAGAAGAGGTTGAAGAGATGATCACAAGGACAAGCAAATCAAATCTGGAAATCATACTTGCCTTGGCTACGATGGCACTATGATGAGGGTCATTACTTTTTCTAGTTTTAAAGATGCTAATGAGAGCCATTTCTGGTGCCCCCTGACCCCCACCAAATGACTTGGTGATCAACTTAAAGACTTGTTAACACCCTTGTTTGTCCTGTAAATCTAAGCAGTTGTGATCACACCATGAAGTACTGAGATTTCATGATGACCCAGGTAGTTTCCATGGAAGGGGCTGAGGGAGGGATATGGAACAAAAGGTTCCTGCCATGGGTTTTTAAGTAATGGGAAGCTATCAGCTCTTTGACTTCAGCTGGCATGATATCAGAGGGCTGGAGACACAGGGTCAGGGTCTCCAACCTGAAGATTACGCCTAAGAACAAGAACAGCTCATTAGGGTTAGAATCTGCTTGCAATACATTTCTTAGCGAATTAGAATGCATTTTCTTTTCATTTTAACTTTGAAACTTACTTTAATCTGTTTTCAGTTGCAACTACTTAAATCTTACTGTTGGTACTTAATAAAAAACACTTTTGTTACTACCAGGCCCAATGTAAATAATTGTTACAATCAGTGGACAATCAGTGTGCATCTTTTTCATTGATAAAGAGGGCGAACATCTTCATGAGCTTTCCTTCTGTAAAACTTTTGCATGGAGAATGACTGCTTTATTTGGAGTTTTGATCTCTCTTGGGGGTTGGTTTCCTGGATGCTGTGCCCTAAAACTGCATCCTCCCAGAGCTGAAGTAGTTCAGTGTCTGTATTGCTCTTCAGGGGGGTGCTTATCGCAGCTCTGTGCCTTGACTAGGGGAGACCAGAGGATTTGGCCCAGCAGGACAGGGTGATGGGGAGCCCCAGAGTGCAAGGCAGGTATTAGTGCCATGATCAACACACTGGAGAACAATCCCAAAGGATCGCACCCCATCACAACATTGCAGACCTGCTGCCTAGCATTACTCTGAGTGGCCTGGATGTTGAGTAGGAAGTGATGGCAAGTAAAATAGATTGCACTGAAAATTCTAAAATGTTGATATAGACAGACATCCCCATTGATCTGTGAAGTCCTGGAAATGGGTGCTCCAGGGAGGCATTTACACAGACTACCTTGCGGGATGATGGACATGAAAATGGAACTCCCAAGCAGACCTTTTGAGGCTGTTATTGACCCTCTGAGATATGATAACAATTTGTGCATAGTCGAAACTAAGCCAGACCTGAAGACAAAATGAGTGCAGTCCTGCCAGGGATGTTATGGATATACAAGCTGCTGTGTTGCCAGGAGTTGACGGCAAGTGTGACAGACTGCTGGCTAAGCCAGAGTTCTGTCACTACAGCCTGGCTGAAAAGGCCAATTATAGCCAGCTGAGCAAGCCCATACCTTAAGGGCTAAATGGAAGCAGCTGTGGACCTCATTAGCCAGAGGGCAATATAAGGCAGCCAGAAGGGAAGTGGAGAAGGAGGAGCAATAGAGTGGCTGTGTGCACTCCCCAGGCAGAAGGAGAGGTAGCGGAGTTGGCTGCTGGAAAACCAAAAATCTGTAAATAGTAGGTGATGGGAAATACACAGACAATAAAAGGCACAAGTGATTACAGAAGAAAGGGTCTTCTGGTGATTTGTGGACAAGGAAGGTATCCCAGGGTGAGGGGCCTGAGTAAGGACCTTGCCACACAAGCCTTCACAATGGCTTGCAGGTCTGATGTATTGCAGAAATAAAGCTGGACATTATAGTGAATCTTTCCAAGGGCAAGTATGCTTTGGCTGTAAAGGTGTCTGCAATGGCAGAGGCCCAATAGAGTAGATAAAGAAAGGGTCTTGATGGTTATTGACTGCACTCCAAAAAAGAGGAGGTTACTCACTTTGCACAGTAACTGACACTATTCAAGATGAGTGTCTCTGTGGTTACTCCACAGTAGGTGTCAGAGCACTCCTGCACCACTGATCAGTCTCTTCAGAGCAGTGTCCTCAGGGCCGTGCAGGCTTGGTGCCCGGATTGCACACCCTCAGTATCCTGGTATCGCGCATGCACAATTCCGAAGTAGAGAGGAGAAGGGAAGGGTGGCAGAGCACCCACAGAGATGCTCATCTTGAAGAATGTCAGTTACTGCACAGGCTGAGTAATCTCCTATTCTTTGAGACATCTCTCTGTGGGTGCTCCACAGTAAGCAACAGTAGAGCTGTACGTAGTAAGATGGTAAGGACTTCGGGTCTGGTAGAAAGACCATGGACAGGACAGCCTGAGCCACTCTGCGGTCAGATAGTGGATCCTATGCTAGTGCATAATGTTTGGCGAAAGTCTGGTCTGAGTCCCATGTGGCAGCCAGACAAATGTCTGATCGGGACCTTGCTTTAAAAGGCTAGGAAAGCAGCTACAGCCCTGGTGGAGTACACTCGAATGGCCGTAGGAGAATTAGAGTTGGTAGAGTTGTAACAGACAGATACAATCTGAGACCTAGTGGGAGATCCAGTGTGATGCGATGGCTGGACCTTTGTTACGGTCCACTATAGAACTAAGTTTCATCTGGTGTATGTACAGTGAGTACTTTGCATATGTCCAGTGTGTACACTGTTGATTCAAATGAGTTGGCATGAGGCTTGGGGGAAAAAAATAAGATGATGTATTGTTTGGTTCAAATGGAAGATTTATCTTAAACAAAAATTTTGGGCAGGTGTGTAAGGTCACTCTGTCTTTGAAGAAAGTTGTATACAGAGGATCTGCCATGAGCACAGAAATTTCTCCCACTGATCTAGCCTATGTGATGGTGACAAGGAACACTGTTTTCATTGATAGGTGTAAGAGAAGATGTAGCCATCGGTTTGAAGGGTGGACGTGTGAGAGTGTTTAAGAGTTGGTTGAAGATTCCAAGGTTCAGGTGGTGGACTGACATCTGGATAAAGTGCTTGGAGGCCTTCAAGAAATCTCTTAGTGATTGGACGTGCCAAAGTTGGTGTATCATCTATCTTTAGATGAAATGTAGTTATAGTTTTTTATGCCTTTTGCCTTAAAAACTGCTTCACACACTAACTTAAAGTTTCACATGGTCTCATGAAAACACACTGTGAACGCTCATTTGTATTTTCCTATCTGAGACATACTAGTAGAAATAACTGTAGTATTTTATAACAGCAAGAAACCGATGTTAAAAGAAAAAGCTAAAGTCCATCTGGAAAGAAGAAATACTACTCACCACATATTTGACATTTTAAGAAAGGCTTTTGAGAAACTGATAGCTAAAAATAAAAAAGGACAGTTACCTAGATATTTCCCGGAGATAAACAGTCTGCATTGCTTTCTTCAAATGAGATTCAATATTTTTCCATAGTCGACGTGTGTCACGTTCACTTGCTACATTAAAAAAACCATATAGTGTAAACTCTGAAAAGGCATTTGATCTATACGATAATGGAATTTAACTTTGAATATTTTTAAGTCAGATTTATAAAATAAACAATGAGACATCCTGACATTCAGAAATATTTTCATTACTATGACATAGAATTATCTTCTATTGATGTGAACACACATTGCAAGACAAGGATGTTGCATTGTGGTTACTCCATCACTATTTAACAGACTGTTTTCATTCTCCACTTCTAGAATTCGGAAGGTAGTTTCCCCCTTCACTGTTGAGATATGGAGAGAAGTTGTATAGGAGGGAGCAGCTGTTAAAAGTACTTGGCAGTATTTTCCTCCACATCTCCATAAAATAGTGACTAAAGGTTGGTTGTCTGCTTCTGCTAAACTCCAAAAGTTGCCTTTTGAGCACTGAACAGTAAAAGTGACACTGCTGTGATTGGCAAAGTACATCAAAGCTAAACATTCTAGAAGAGTGGCACGGGTTGAGCCCCTCCATTCTCAATGCTGACTACTACTCTGGCCTGGTCTACATCTAAAATGTAGGCTGACCTCTCTACATCACTCCATGGTGTACAAAATTCACATTCAGAGAGACATAGTTAAGCTAACCAAAATTCTGACACAAACACTACTAGGCTTGGTTAAAGAATTCTTCTGTCAACCTAACTAGCACCTCTAGGAGGTGGATTTACTGCAAAGATGGGAAAACCTCTTCCACTGCTGAAATAAGCATCTTACACTGCAGCAGTATAGCTGCAGTGCTTGTAACGGAGACACAGCCTAACAGAAAAGCAAAAGTAGTTACCTTCTCCTCTGACCACTGGTTCACAGTATTTAGTAAAATTTAGTGCAGCCTGCAGGGGAAAAAAACAAAAAAACCAACAATATACTAAGATATTGTATTAAACATGGTCATTCTATACTATACAGCATCTAGCACACCTCTGGGTGAGGTAAAGTGAATAAAAATTGCTTCAACTATTAATTATGATGTTTTGCTTCCAAGTTTTTCCACTCTGATTCATGTTATACTATTTTACAGTGCAACATCCAGTGATAAACATCAAGACGACAATCACAACAATAGCAAATAAAAACCTGCACAAAATCCTTTCACTATGTATACTGATAAATAATTTTCAATGTAGCAATTGTATCTTTTTAAATCAGTAAATATGTTCAATAATAGATCACATATATTTACATACAAACACAGATAAGAAATAATAAAACCCACATTTTTGGTGACCCTTCCTTCACTTTTAAATAAACTATTTTTGCTTAAGATAAAAATTATTTGCTGTACTCTACCAAGGTAGCTTTTTTCCAGGTTGGATAAATCTATGAAGCTGGATATTTATTAATTGTGATGGGATGGACTCCCCCACATTAGCTCTGCTAGAGCTTAAATAAATCAGGTAGGCCTAACCAGCTAATTAGGCTACAAGCCGGGGAGATTTAGGCTGCAGGCAGCTAATTTAGAACAGGTTTACCTGTCAGGAACAGGCAAGATCTGTAAAAAGCCTGATAGCTGGCTGTAGAGAAGGGGGATGCTGCTGGGAAAGGTTGCAGTCATTCCATGAATGCAGGCAAGTGGGCAGGTTCAGCCAGGCAGAGTGTGTGTGTGCATAAGCCTGTTAGAATGTAAGAACAACCCAGAAAGACAGTAAGAAAATGTAAAACAGGACTACACCAGACTAACACAGTTCCATTTCTATCAGTAAGAAAATGTGACTGCTTGGTAAAGGTCCCTAGTCTGGATCTCAGCGTACAGTGAGAGTCTGGGTTCCCCTACCAGCCACTGGGAAGTGGCAAGGGCACAGGAGGCATCCAGTCAGATAGCAGGTCTGGAAAGACTATGAATTCCCCCAAAAGGTGATGAGGATAGTGACCTGGCTGGAGGACCAAATTACACAGAGGAAGGACCCAGGAGTGGGTGAGGCAGCAGAGGGAAACAAGACAGGAGAAACCACCACCAGAAGGAGAGTGCAAGCTGACAGAACTAATCCCCAGAATGGCCAGCAGGAGGTGCTATGTTTGGTGGAGGATCCTGGACATTAATACTTGGAATTTTATAACAGAACACCCTTCCCAATTAATTCCTTTGCTCACATGTCCTTAGACAGCTCTATACAGCACTTATGGTCAATGTTCCCTCTAATCTTTTTCATCCATGTGCTGATTTTTTCCATACATGTACAGAATAAACGTCTTTTATATGCACTAAGGCACCTGTGAATGTGCACCACCAATAGAAACACAAAACCTAGCTCTGCTAATCAGCTGGGAGGCATCCGAATTTCTCCTGAGTGGTCACACAAGCACACAGCTTACAAGGAACACTGCTTATGGTAATATCTAGACATGCATATACTGATTTCAATGTGGCTTCAAAATCATATTTATAGTAAAAGGCAACATTCATTAATTTTAAAAAATCTACTATTTGAAGAGTAGTTCAGAAACTTATGAAACAGTTATACTAGTATCAGAAGGGTAGCCGTGTTAGTCTGAATCTGCATAAACAACGAGAAGTCCTGTGGCACCTTATAGACTAACAGATTTATTGGAGCATAAGCTTGCGTGGGCAAAGACCCACTTCACCAGATGCACGTAGTAGGAATTCCAAAGGCAGGTAGAAATATACAGGCACATGAAAAGAAAGGAGTACCAATCAAGAGGAAGGCCAGAGATAACAAGGTCAATTCAGTCAAGGAGGATGTGGCCCACTTCTAGCAGCTGATGGAGTTATGAACACCAAGAAAAGAGAAATTGCTTTTGTAGTTGGCTAGCCATTCACAGTCTTTGTTCAATACTAAATTGATAGTGTCAAATTTGCAAATGAATTGTAGCTCTACAGTTTCTCTTTGGAGTCTGTTTTTAAAGACTTTTTGCTGCAAGATGGCTACTTTTAAATCTGCTGTGTGTCCAGGGAGACTGAAGTGTTCTCCTACATTCCTGATATCTTATTTGTCTGTTTATTCTTTTACGTAGGGACTGTCTGGTGGCCAATGTATATGGCACAGGGGCACTGCTGGCACATGATGGCATATACTACATTGGTAGATGTGCAGGTGAATGAGCCCATGATGGTATGTCTGATGTGGATAGGTCCTGTGATGGTGTCAATGGTATAAATATGTGGGCAGAGTGGGCACCGGGGTTTGTTGCAGGGGTTGGTTCCTGAGTTATAGTTACTATAGTGTGGTGTACAGTTGCTAGTGAGAATTTGCTTCAGGTTGGTGGGCTGTCTGTAGGCGAGGACTGGCCTGCCTTCCAAGGTCTATGAGATCATTGTCCAGGATGGTTTGTAGATCACTGATGATGTGTTAGAGAGGTTTTAGCTTAGGACTGTAGGTGATGGCCAGTGGTGTTGTTATTTTCTTTGTTGGGCCTGTCTTATAGCAGGAGTCTTCTGAGTACACGTCTGGCTCTGTCAATCTGACTCCTCACTTCTTCGGGAGGTTACTGTAGTTTTAAAAATGATTGGTGAAGATCATGTAGGCGTTTGTCTGTCTGAGGAGTTGGAGCAAATGAGGTTGTACCTTAGTGCTTGGCTGTAGACAACGGATTGTGTGGTGTGTCCAGGATGGAAGCTGGAGGCATGTAGGTAAGCATAGCAGTCAGTAGGTTTCTGGTATAGGGTGGTGTTTATGTGACCATCACTTATTCGCACTGTAGTGTCCAGGAAGTGGATGTCTTGTGTAGAATGGACCAGGCTGAGGTTGATGGTGGAGTAGAAACTGTTGAAATCATGGTGGAATTCTTCCAGTGCCTCCTTCCCATGGGTCCAGATGAAGAAGATGTCATCAATGTAGCATAAATAGAAAAGGGGCGCCAGTGGACGAGAGCTAAAGTAGCATTGTTCCAGGTGAGCCATAAAAATGTTGGCATATTGTGGGGCCACGTGGGTGCCCATAGCACTGCCACTGGTTTCAAGATGACACTGGTTTGACATGCACCTGACAAAGTGGGTCTTTGCCCATGAAAACTTATGCTCCAATAAATCTGGGTATGTCTGCACTACCCTCCTAGTTCCAACTAGCGGGGTAATGTAGGCATACCGCACTTGCAAATGAAGCCCGGGATTTGAATTTCCCGGGCTTCATTTGCATAAGCGGGGAGCCGCCATTTTTAAAACCCCGCTGGTTCGAACCCCGTGCAGCGCGGCTACATGGGGCACGAACTAGGTAGTTCGAAC